ATTATAGTTGCTACACCATTATAAAATGTTTATTACTTCTTATGGTAGAGCAGATGGCTAGGGAAAGCAAACAATCTTTCATTTACTGAATAATTTATGCTATCAACTGAAATAAACCATTATAGAAGGACTATAAGTCAAATAACAAATATACAGTTGTGAACCTTAAAGAACCCTTCTACAGCTTTTTAGTTGCCAGATGACGGTAAACATTTTATCAGTGTGCCTAAATGCTAGAAAAGTTTTAATTGTAAATAAATGGTCAGAAAATATTGATTGTCCTCCCCAGAATAAAGTAAATATTATAGGATCTTAAAAAATCATGTGAATTTGGTTAGACAGGGTGGGGAATTCCACCGATGGAGAAAAGTTAGCCACGGGACCCAGAAATCCCAGCGGCATTCATCAATTCTCCAAACGGCTTGTCCTATTTATGGTCTCAGGTTTAATGAACTTGTCTTTTTAAATGTAAATGCACTTACATTTTTACATCTCTCTCATTTTTTGAACTTGATGGTCAAGGATGTATGGGACATTTGAAAAACTTGCATGCAATGTTCTGGAAACCTGTAACTTTAGACTGGTTAGCTGGTGAAGCTAAGCATGGATGAGCCCCTTGGTACCAATTGACCATAATTTAACTGTCACAAGCTACCTGAGTATTGTGGCTGACCATGTCCATCTCTTTATGATCGCAGTGTACCAAGTAGGATAACGCACCATGTCACAAAGCTCAAATCATCTCAAACTGGTTTCCCCCAGTCTCGTCGAGGGCGTCCCGCTGCTGCTTCTACACCTGCTCCAGGCGACACAACTCGTCCCTCAAGCCGCTTCTAAACCCTCCAAAGGTCCATCAAAGCAGCCCTGAGACAGAGCTAACCTGAACCAGGGAGTGGTGTCCTTCCACCAGAGGACCAGGTGGAGAATCTTTTGTTTCAATTGAAAGAGTGCTTTTTACAGTCCTTACTTAGTCTTAAACCCAAGCATTTGTTCATTTGCCCCCAAGATTGGTTCACAGCAACTGACCTAAAGGATTTGTATTTTCACGTTTTGAGTTTCCCTCGACACAGACCATTGCTTTCAAGGGTTGGTCGTACCAGTACAAGGTCCTCCTCTTTGGGCTTTCCATGTCTCCCCTTTTTATAAAGTCGTCTGCCCTTGACCTGTTATGGGAAGTGGGCATTCGCATTCTCAACCGATCTCTATGTCTGGCTCATTCTGGCTCACACTTGAGATTTGTGAACATCTCTGTGAACACCCCTGCCTTCTGGGGCTATGGGTCAACTGGGAGAAGAGCAAGTTCTCCGTGTTCAGAACAAGAAGTGCCCTTAGAACAAGTGTCCAGGCACGTTGTTGTCACAACGGACAACAAGAATGGGCTGGGGTGATTTATGCAATGGGCACACAGCCTCTGGCTCCTGGACAGGACTATGACTGCAGTGGCATATCCATTGCCTTGAGCTGTTGGCAGTGCTGCTCACCCTACGGCAGTTTCAGGGCAAGCACAGGTCTGGGTGGACAAGAACTGTGACGTTTGTGTACATCAACCGCCCGCCATCTCCTCCTCTGGAGTCAGCAGCAGCTCAGGTCGCTCCGTGCTGTTCTGGACAAGCTCTATCGTGTGACTAATGCACTCTCACAACAGCTACAGGGAGCTGGAGACTCTTTCCCCAGGTGGTCCAGCTGATTTAGAGTCGATTCTGGAAAGTCCAAGTAGATTTCTTTTGTCGTTTTTGCCACACGCATCTTTGTGTTCGTGCCGATGTGGTGAGTATAAACCAGGCTTTTTTAACACTTAGTTGATGGGGTTAGTTGATGCGACAGTCGTCTGATTAAAGTTACATTTAATGTTTGCCAGTTTAATGTTACATTCAATGTTTTCCCTAGATTATTACCTTTGTTATAAGAAGCACTTGGACGTTACATGTAGTTACTATAGTAATAACTATAATTTTTGCATAATTACATGCAACTAACCCTAAACCAAACCCTTATCCTAACACTATAGTATGTAGATAATTATTATTAATTAGCACTTAAATATATAATTCGATTAAAGGATATACGAATATACGCTTGAAAACTACAGATTATAGTTACACATTTTTGTCTTCATACCCACAGACAGTCAGATCAACAAAGGGTTATTAAAAAAAGTTATTGTAAGACCAGGTTTATTACTGAAAATTGTATCATGCTTTGTCTACACTTTTAACAGCGTTATGGTAAAAATGGAATACTATGACAACAGCTTTCTTTCCTGTACGCAAAGGCGTTGTGTTAGACAAAACTGACAGAATGGCAATTTCTTTCAGTTTCCCCTCCGTTTAGCCTAAAACACTATGATCATGGTCATCCAGTTTGAACTGTTGACTTCAAACGTGGAGGTTTTTCAGATTTTCCGTTACGACGCTCTCTACGTATTTACAAATCATAGCCTACAACACACCAGACCCTTCAGTGAAACACAAAAGCAATTCACTCCCGCTAAATGTTTACTCTTTGAATTCTTGCACTCAAAAAAATATATATAAAAAAATACAGGTTGAATTATGACTAAAATGTTTTAGTCACTATTATGACTAAAAGTTTGCTAAGTATTATCTACTTAGTATTATCTAGGGATAGTTCACTTTGAAATTGATTTTTGGTATGTTTTATCTTACTTCAAGGGCATCCAAGAAGTAGGTGTCTTTGTTTCCAAAGTATTTTCAATTTTGATATTTTTAGGTCAAACCGTTGGTGTCTATCAGTCATATAATGGAGGTTTAGGGGGTCCACCTCATGCACAGAGAAGTCCAAATTAAACATGATTTAATGACTCGTAAATGTAAGTACACATTGATGGCCTAAGACACGAAACGAGCGGTTTGTGTGAGAAAACGAACAGTATTTATATCGTTTTTACCTCGTGTAATCACAGTCACGTCCAAGTACTCTGAGGGCAAGGGCGCTTCCGTCTGCGCAAGCGCCGACCAGCGCTGGAAAGCCCCGGAAGTGATCTCTCTCGCATGTACGTCACTCATTGTTTACACAGAGATTTCAGAAGTGTTACCCTACATTGTGAAGATCTAAACATATTCAGATATACAGGAAATCACAATAGAAGACGATTTCGATATATCAGACAACGTTGATTTTTTTTTTCGCAACCGTGCGAGAGATCACTTCGGTTTGACCGAAGAACACAAGACACAAGAACGGTTTGACCTAAAAACATCAAAACTGAAAACACTGTGGAAACAAAGACACCTACATCTTGGATGCCCTTGAGGTAAGATAAAACATATCAAAAATTAATTTCAAAGTGAACTATTGCAGTATTTTATTGTTTACTCATATCCATAGCAGACTGGTGGGAGTGGCCTTGGAAGGCAACATGCCCAGTGCATCATGGGTGTTGAAGTTTTTAAACCTATTTGGCAAACGGGAAGACAACCACATTTTTATCTGGTCAGGTAGCACCGTTAAAAAAAAAATGTTTGCCTTTTGTACTGTATAGACCTTGTATAGCCCCACCCCTTTTCAGCACTGCACTCGTTGTCTTCCGGTTTATATTTCGACCGCATTAAGGTAAGATCTTACAGATTTATTTAATAAATGAACACACAAGGGCCAGGGAACATGAACAACTGGTGGTCAATAAATGAATGGGGATTCAAATTCTGTGATAATCTGTGTAGCTTTCTGCAAAATTCTGCTGGCACAGAATGTGTGTGATCCTACGCATTATCTACCATATCTGAGTGAAATACAGGAACACACAGCCATGACTGATTTTGAATTTGGTCAACTGCTGAACTGCGGGCAATGAGTACATTCAGATACTTCCTTACATCCAATCTAATCTCAAATACAGCGTTTTCTGAGGATTCTGTTCATGCTAGGTCATGTGCTCCACATCAGCTATATGTGAGGCCTGGGGTCCGAATGCTGTCTGCTTTTCCTAAGATTTGTTAAGTAAGTTGAAAAGCGAAAGATTAGACAATTATCTCCTTCTTCACTCCAACAATCACAGCCAAAGACAACTTCCACTGCAAAATCTGATATCGAGGAGTTTATAAGCTCTTTCGGAGTGAAAAGGTCTTTCTCAGAGGTGCCAGTGAGCTGCTCCAAAGTTTATCGAGCCTGGTTACATTTGTTTAATTCCTTATCTCTCCAAACATGTCGCTGGAATCGGCGCTGCTTTAGGAAATTCAATTATACCCGAATGGGGCTAATGCACCAATAGTGCTTGGTTTGACAGAGAAAGAAACAATATTTACATTACAGTATCAGAATGGGTCCAGTTGCACTTGGTAGGCGCCAAGATTTCCACATATTGTATTGTCTGTGTTCCAATAACATAATCAGCGCTGATGCCCCATTGTTTGAGTAGCACTTAATTTACTCAGCTGGGCTGAAAATGATCAGGTCGCCCACTCATTTCATCCAAAAAAAAAAAAAAAAGGATATTTTGACCATAGGTAAAAGTCAGTAGCCTATATATAAAAGAGTACTAGAGAAACATGGCAATATTCTTACTTATTTCAAAACATAGAATCAAGAATACTCTGATCAACACACACATATATATATATATATATATATATATAAACTGGTGCTTGAATCAATCAATATAATTTTGGAAAAACTATTAGCAGATCTGTTGGGTTTTAATGTCATTTTTTACTGCCAAAATACAATAAGGTACCAACATTTATAAACCTTCAAAACTTTTTTCCTTACAAAATTCTACATTGCAACATTACAAAATCTTGCTTTTGAACCATAGTATATAGTGTATACTATGGTAAATGCATATGTTAAACTTTACTATGATGTATTTGAATGACTTAGAATCATCATTACAGTACAACACTTACCACGGCACCACCACAGTACTTTTTTGTAAGGGTAGTGATCCAAATTTCATGACATTACTCTGGCTTGCTACATTATACGGCATACTTGTAAGCGTGCAAATAAGTGTCCTTGAATGATCTTAAAAAAGCTCTTACCAGCTCCATAACCTCCAGCCCCTAAAGCTCCTGTTTGAGCACCAGTTCCAGCAGCTCCTCCATATCCTCCTGCTGAACAAGAGTTCATCAGTTTCTGAAACGCTTGATCTGTGTCTGCTCAAGTAGCACACATTACACATTACACACATGGCAAGATGTGACTTCACTGACTGCCACACAGGTGAACTTTTTGTTTTTGAACACACTTAACAATAGCTGGCGAGTTTGAGAACTGATGATAAGACAGTGGTGTTATGAAGCTCACTGGACATCAGGTCTATAATGTGCAAGCTAGATTGGAATTCATGAAATACACTCACTTAAAGGATTATTAGGAACAGTTGTTTAATTTCTCATTAATGCAATTATCTAATCAACCAATCACATGGCAGTTGCTTCAATGCATTTAGGGGTGTGGTGCAGTATGCTGATGCCTTCATATTATCTTTTTCATGTTAATTCTACAAAACTGATCAGTTGGGAAAAAATAATTAAAATGTTTCAGTTAATATTAAGTTCTGAGGTACAACAAATTGATTTACTGTTCAGTTGGTTGGTTGAGTGAGTAAAGTCTGGATGATGTTAAACAATACAGGATTCTGGTCTCAGTGGAGGAAATCACCCTACAGTGTTCATATTCAAAGTAAAACCATCTTACCTGCTGCTTTTGCTGCTTTGTATTGGGACGTCCCAGCACCTGTTAAAACCAGTAAGAGTTATAGGACTTTCAGTGCAGGTGAGTAAACATCTTGTCAAGTGTAGCCAAGAAGAAATGGTTCAGCTTTACTTTCAACCTCAGACGGCACCACACAACACGTGAAATTCTTCTTTGGAAGACATTCAAGAGTTCGGTTTTACATTCCTAGCGGCTGCTAAACTAGACCTTCCAGCGGGATTAATGCATTTGAGTAGTAGAGCTTCTTGTATTCGAAATCCATTCTGTAAATTCTGATTGAAATCATAATCATCATATCTTAATTTGGTATAAATGTGTTAATGATGAGCAAAGTGTCAGTGTGTGTGTGTATGTATGTGTGTGTGTGTGGGGGTAGTCATCATGTGGGAGGCAGCGTCCATCTGCTCCACAGAAAGTTGAAGCACTCTGGGCTACCCCTAAGTGTGAGTACACACATCACATCATACAGGACACATCTGAACACACACACACTCACAAGCACAGGCTATGTGGTGGACCTCGAGAAGCTGTATGCTCTGAAGAGAAAATAAAGCATCAAAGAGCTTTCATTCTGCTTCTTCACGTCTCTAACAGGACATCTGTGTGAACCAATTACTGGCAACCCCAAACTGATTGAAATTCAACAGTTATCTAGAGAATTGTTATATATTGTATTGACAACTCATCAACTAAAGGGGTGATGAACTGAGAAATCAAATTTTCCTTGAGCTTTTGACGTCTAAGAGGTTATCATATTATAAGAATATCCTGTAAGTTTCAGAACTGAAAACGTTTTTAAAAGTGGGGAACTATGATGTCATAGAGGATAAAACACCACCCCCGCAGAAGAAGATCAACGCCTACTTCAACACGGCCGGTTTAGCCCCGCCCACCGATTCGCGCATTACACACATAGTTAAATAACATAGATGCCTACCCCGTGATGACAAACCGGATCGAGCTACTGAGCAATACAGAATATTGTGCAGTGCTGGTTGTGTAAGAAGACAGTCGCTGCATAAGCTTCTTCTGGATTCCAATAGGACTGCATGGATAAATTTTATTTTTAATGACGTTCAGCTGATGAGGGTAAAACATCGTCGTCTGTTCGCTTCATTTCACTGAGGATTGTAAACAAGACTGGATTTGCAGAGCGATTAAGAGTAAAGAACGGTGCTGTGCCGTCTATATTGGATCTGACAGGAATTGTGCAACACACGGACTCTGGGTCGAACATGTACGGGCGAATCATTCCGGTTGCCATTTTACAACATTGAACGTTTTCAAAACAATTTCCCCCAAGTGCACCGACGGGTGAGTTAAACTCATTATAATATGCAAAACTGTTCTCCACTCACAGCGGTGGGCGTTTACTTCCAAGTCTTCAGTGCGAGACGCCCATAAAAACCCAGCGTTTATCAGGTAGGCTAAAAATTTGGGTAGAAAATAGCCTATTACTTATTCATTTTTGAATACAAAAATCAAGCGAACGTCATAAGTTGACCTAAAAAAAAAAAAAAATATATATATATATATATATATATATATATATAATAAATATAAAAAGCCAGTTCATGACCCCTTTAAACATTTACCAACCCCAGACAGCAGACATTGAATCAACGTGGAAACGACGTCTCTCATGACATTGAAACAACGTTGATTTGCTCATCGAATTAACGTTGAACCAACGTCAGACGCGGCATTCTTCAAAGTTAAATGAAAATCGAAAATTGGTTTGCTTTCATAACGTTGAAACAACGCGTTGATTTCAAGTTGATTTTCCGTTAGTTTTGAAAGAATGACGCGTCTGACGTTGGTTCAACGTTAATTCGATGAGCAAAACAATGTCAGATCAACGTTGTTTCGATGTCATATTTCCACGTTTATTCAATGTCAGTTTGCTATCTGGGACGTATATTCTGCATAATTGGATGTTGTTAAATAAACACTGACAAGTTTTAGTGCTGGATGATATGATATAACATTGATATAAGTGATCACTTGGATTTAGACAAATATTATTTATATGAAGTGTTCACAGGCAAATTTGCTTTATGCATTTCCCTGGTGTTGAAATTAGGCCCATATAAATGTGAGGAAACATGCTTCCTGCTGCATGTCAATGTCCATGATCACTGGTAATCTTTAGTAAGTTGTAAGGAACACTTGGCGAAGTGGTGAGCAGATCATGGCTGTCTATGGTTATACCTGGGTAAAGTCCAGCACCTGGTAGATATCCAGCCCCACCTGGTCCTCCTCCAGCTGAACCCTGAGGCACATACACCCCTGAAACAGAAAAACACCAGCGGTCAGGGTCTGTCTTTCATGTTTCCCAAGCCCGACCCTAGCTGACACCCAAAGAGAAGAATCCAGGCGAACGCCGACAGTTCTGAAAGACCTTGACAAGCATTTCTCTGAACATTTTGCTCATGTCAATTACTCACAGAAATCATTCGGCCTTCAAGTGAAGTCAAAATGTGATTGCTGTCAGATTCGAATGAACTCATATTCATTTCATGTGTTTCTCTTTTTCCGTTCCTTTACTGACAAAACAGAAGGAAGAGGAAAGGATGGACATGATTACGGGTGAAACTAATGCTTGTGCTGCTTCAGTAGACGATGGGGAATGTAGTCATGGGACAAAAATCATCATGAAAGCTAAACGAGTATAAAAGTCTATCGTCCTTCTCTCGTCTAATCTGCTACGCACAGCCAGCTTATTGACAAACTCACTTTTATCGTGATACTAATTTGTTAGTGCGACCACGCTTAACCCTCTATGGGACCAATTGTGAAATCAGAGTTAAAAAAAATAAATGACTATATAATTTACATATATTTCAGACTAAAATCATTTACCAAAATTAGTTTTCCACACCCGACGTCTTTTATAACTGACTTTGTCCTATTAGGGTCAATAATTTTTAGAAAATTGTCTTGTCTCTCCGAGAAGGATTGAAAATTAGTCAGTGTTTCAAAAAAAACCACTCCATTTAATCATGTTCAACTATATTTCATTTGGAAATCAAAACTTGACTCAAATTCAGACGTAATTTCACTGTCTGAAATGTCTTAGCATTGAAAAATAATCGTTTCTTTCTTGGAATTCCAATTCAATAATTGAAGCACAAGTGAAAATCAACAATACCCTTCTATATCAGTGTGGCCCACACTTTCCACACGTACAGTAACTTGACTTTGACCCGTTTAGTCCTGATTCTTGGAGCATTGGTAAGCAGTGGCATCTTTCCTGACCTCTGGTTGTAGTATGGAGCACATCTTCCAAACTGGCAGGATAATGTACTCAAATATGTCTGACTTCCACAACAATCTCTGACTTGTATTCTTCATCACTGCCATAACCCTAACGGCTACTATCCTCCTTGATCTTTAACTTCTTCCTTTCTTTCTACGGCCTCATTTTCTGATGCACTGCCGTCACTATCGTCAATACTTTGTGATAAAGGCACAGATTTTCCATTTCTGTCTTCTACAACTTACTAAGATCAACCTAAAACACAGGTAAAAGCTTTTATACTGCCTGCCAGAACTGGATGAAATATGTTACCCTAAAAGGACTTGGTCATTTATACATGACATTCAGATTTTTTTGGTCATTAAGTTATTTATTTATTTATTTATTTATTTTTACAAAATATTCATTAAAACTGACAAAAAACTTTAGAATGCACATTTGGATAAACAATGATATTACACACACACACACACATATATATATATATATATATTGTATATATACAGGTATTCTAGTCTAAAATGAACAATAGAGCATGTGACGTGGCTAATAGATGTTCATTCATTTTATTGGCTAAAGGGGATGTCATATGATATTATTAAAATGAATTATTTATTTATTTTTGGTTGAACATTATTATTGTATTTTAAATGCAAATTTCTTAGCGTCATTTATAAATGCCAATGTCCCATAGAGATTTAAATCTGAACTAATCCAGTGCATTAAAAATGAATACATTATATATTACTATATAGTCATTTGAAAGTAATTAGTTAAATTATTAAAGAGTAACTAAACACTTAACCAACTTTTTTTAGTTAATGATCTGTAAGAATGGATCTTTATTAATACCAGTCATTGATTCGAGTAACTTTTTTGGCATTTGTTTATAAAGTGTTCTATTTCTACAATATATGGTGTAAAAACGTCTTAGTCCTGCCCTCTTCAGGTTGAACGGTGGCTACTGCAGTTGAATTTTCCTATTGGATGTTTGTGGTAGTACGTGACACAGCGGTTGTTGGTGACGTAGGCAAGTTCCATACAAACAAAAAGCGTCTCAGGTGCACGCCCCCCTCCGCTGGGCTCTGCCCACTTTTCCAGCATTTTTCAAATATTGCCAGTGGGTGGAGTCAGGCTCTGACCAGGGGTTTAGTTACCCTTTAACAATCAACTGTCAGAATCACAAAATTATGGTAAATTATGATAGAGATACCAAACACAATAGATCTGGAGCCCACTATGCTGACGCACAACCTAGTTTTCTTTTCATTTCATTTCAATTCTTTAATCTTATTATAATTGAAGTAATACTATTTTGTACATGCTAATTAGGGCTGTCAAACGATTAATCGTGATTAATCACATCCAAAATAAAAGTTTGTGTTTAGATAATATATGTGGGTGCACTGTAATTATTTTGTATACATATAAATATACACAAATGCATGTTTATTTAATAAAAAATATTATTTATCTATAAAATATTTATATATAATATACATTATATATAAATCTATATAGAGTATATACATTAAAATATTTCTTAAATATATACAAGCATGTATGTGTACTTATATATATAAAATAATTATACACAGTGCACCCACATATATTATGTAAACACAAACTTTTATTTTGGATGCGATTAATCGCGATTAATCGTTTGACAGCCCTAATACCAATACATACTATTTTACCCGCAGGTTTTTTCCCTGGTGAAAACTAACACTTACACTACTAACACTACATAATTCCAGGTTAAAATGTTATTTTATTAGTAATGCGTTATATTACTGCGGTACAGCAAAAAGTAAAATGTTACTGTGATATAACTACTTTTTTGTAGCGTTACTCCTAATACTGACTGCTGTAGAATGGAGCTTACATAATTGACCCGTATACTCTATACAGGTGGAGCTGGGGAGGGTTTCTAGAGTTCAGCAACAAGCTCATTGGATACTGATACAGGAGAAACAAATCGGCTGTGCCCTATTGAGAATAATGTAATAACCATCAGCCTGCTACACCTAAAGTTTCATGACAGAACTTTACATAATTTTTATATTGACATTTATTACTCATTACTCAAGAATTAACAACATAAGAAACCAAAAAGTTTAGCAACGTCATGTTTGTTTGCTTTGCAACGGCACTATAGCATTATACTGTATGTATTCTTTAACAAAAGTATTGTTACATCAATATGGTAATCATTCATTATCATGGTATCAAAGTAGTATAACCAATCCTGTAATGGTGCATTCACACCCGACGTGAATAGCAATGCAAAGACGCGTTACACACGTAAAAAATTCCTGTGGCGCGAATGAGGCGTAGAGCGTGGCGCGGTAGACACGGATACTCGCCATTCGTGCGAATTGAGCGTCTGGTACGTTAAACGCGTTACGCGCAAATGATTTAGTTAGTGCTATTTGTGCATTCACGCGTTTGACGCAAATTCGCGTCTGCCGCCCGAGTTGAAAAATCTGAACTTTGTGCCGCGTTAACCAATCAGGAGCCTGCTGCTTGCTCACGTGGTGAAGGATCTGGATGCTTCAATAAATTATTTTGTAATATTACTAAATGTCTGGTGTGGTTCTAATGCACAACAAAGCAAATATTTGATCACTTAAAACTTTATTTCAATATACGACACATGTTCATTTTGTATTGAATGTTATTCATTCCATATCTAGATTATATGAAATATTATTATGATGTCAAGACAACCAACATACATGTGCAAAAGTTTGTGTCTGCCAACGGGTTTCGATTCTGACGCGCGTAAATTTCACTCCAAACTTTTGTTTTTACGCGCGTCAAGAGTGAAACAGAATTAATTATGAGATAAACAGAATTAAAACAAAGTGGTCAAGCGTCTAACTAGACACGGTAGGCACGAATTTGACGCACTATTCGCGCCCGGTGTGAACACACAATAGGGGAAGGTGAGAACATTGCTTATAGTCTCAGGGAGCGGGCTACTTCAAGTAAATAAAGCCCTGAGCTTAGGAAAGGGTGATTTTGGGAGGGGAAAACGCTATACGACTACTAACAGCTTCCCATGTGTTCTTGTTAGCTCAGGAATCAATTATGAAGTTACATTTCGATGCCAGACCTGGTTTGCATCACCAAGCCGTGATGGAGAATGTGAACAGACCCTCCGATGACAGAGACTTTTAATAGGTTTTGCATGTTTCTCGAAGGCTATTTAATCAAATCCATACGTCCCAGCTTCTTTTGTGTTTATTAGCAGCAATGCAGTAAGCATGGTATTTTATTATGGAGTTGCACGGAAAGCCTGTCATTATTCAGTAATGGATTATACAGGCTTTATTTTTATTTTTATTATTAAAAAAAAAACCCAAAAAACTCCTACTCAAGGCCACAGTTGTCATGTGAAAGAAAAGCCACACATGGGAAGAATCGTTCACAGTTGGCAGATCAGGTGCGGAGATTAAAACTACAAAAGCAAGCTGTGAATTGCCCTGGCATTGACTTGCAGATGAGGCAGCGAAGAAGTGAACAAAGATCTTTATTAAGCTAGTGGAAAGTTTACATATACTGTCATCATGCCCTGTGAACAAGAAGAAACCGTCACTGCTTTGCAAGGACTGAGCATTATCTCATAGCTTCAGAACATGATTAGGGGGGACAAACTGTTTAGTCTGAGGCAAGCTAAATTTTTTGCTTTTGGAAAAAAAAAGCTTCAGCTTACGTGATAATGCCAGCAGAGTTTTATCTTACCTTCTTTACTTGACTTGTTTGAAAAACAGAAAGAAAGGAAATGGGGAATTTGTGTGCTGTATGTGTCCTCATGACTAACTGCTGATATAATTACCAGTAAACTGAACTTTATCACATTATAGGAAGGACTTTACGGGGTCATGACATGAGAAATCTAATTCGCCTTGATCCGTTTTCACATAAGAAGTATTTGTACCATTAAAACATCCAACAAGTTTCATAGCTGCAAATGTCTAACTCATTATAAACAAAGCGTTTAATCAAGCTCCAAAAACAGCTTGTT